ATGTATTTATGTATTGCTAACAAAATTACATATTCTACAGAGATGTTTTACATTCTGCCAGTCTACTGTGGTAGCAATGCTGAAAGTTGGAAGTATTACTGTATCAGTGCAGTAACAAGAAGGGTTCAGCAGTAGCAGTGATGGATGGGACAAAGTTGGGGCAAATCTGTATTATGCGTGGTCCCCAAAGGCCTCAAGGCTGCAGCTTTGGGGGTTATACTTAGAACTTTTCAATGTCAAGTTTATTAACTTGTTTATGACTTTGCAATGATAAGTATATGAATAAAAGTATGTGATTAAGAGATTTCTGATTTAGTTTTGAGAAAAATATTCAACACTAAATCTTCAGTCACACTATTTCAATTTTTCCTTTATGAACAGCCCTATTTGAACAGCAATAAAGTACAACAATTAATAATTTAAGATTTCTTAACCAATCCTCTGAATTATGTATGTCTTCTTGGATCAGTAAATGCTTTATGCAGCACCACTGCTATCTATGATAATTTCAATTTCTGTATCTGGGGAGAAATTTATACTACTGAAATCTACATTCTGTTTTGAGAAAAATGTTTGAATTCCCGTTCTGAAGTAACAGTAAAAACACACCCTCTTGTTTTTCACCTTTTTGTGTTTCTAGCATAGTGACTGAAGATTTGCTCCTATGTCCTTGTTTTGTCTGTTGGTGTTATCTTCTTGCCCTATCACCACTCATAATTAGCCTAGGAGTATGACCTGATTGGAAGAAACTAGAATTTCATGAAGTAATTGATTTAAACTAAGTGGAATGTTCAGCCTAATGAATCTCACAGCTATAATATTCACATTCAAGCTTCTTTACCCCAACTACCTGAATTTATGTATTTATGCCTGAAATCTGTCAGATTAAGGCTATCACAAGGTTTTTTGTTAATTTCACTTGAACTACAGGGAATAATCAGCTTCACCTTTCAACCATATTTTCTTAGTTGATTTCCTTTAATTTTTAGAAGTACTGCCTAGTCGAAGTACTAGGCATATGTTCTATGCTTCAACCTAGGTTTTCCTAGCATACATTTCTAGTCAATTTCCAAAGGTTTCATTTTGTTACCCATTGTGAAAGAATGGAGCTAGCCATAAATTGTGAGGGCAGTCACTGGGAAAAGCAAACTCCTGTCTTTGTGAATGATTATAATACAATTTGATGGTCTTAAAAATACAGAATCAGAAATTTTACAACATTTATTATTCTGAAAAAGAATTCTCCTTTCAGTCTTATTCTCTTTGAAAAACAGCATTATAAACAAACACAGGCTTACAGTTTCCACTTTCTAATTCTCATTTATGTAAGGACTATTCATAAGTATACTCCTGCCACATCAAATAGCTCATGTTACTAAGGCTCTAACAAGATGCATATTTTCCTGGGAGGGAGCCTTGTAGAATTGGGAACTGAGATCTTTGAAAGATTTAGATAAAGCTATCAGATGAGAATGCTGTTCCTTTCTTATTTCAATTTTCACAAGACTACTTTTATCTAAGGTGAATCAAATGGGTGTGGATAGCAATTATTTTTTTTTAAAAAGGTCCATTCTCAGCATTAATAATTTTTATTAAAAATTAAGAGTTACTTTTTGTAACAATTTCTTACTATCTTGTAGTACTAAGTTTCCTCCATATCAAGCTCAAGTCCCGATGACTTCATGAACACACCTATATGCAATAGTTTTATTGGCAACAATTATTGTTGTTGCCTTCTTCTTGGACAGTTTTTCAGCTTCCCTACAGCCCTTGTGTTCCCTGGATGTCCCATCAACTACTAACCAGGTCCAGTCCGCTTATTTTCCAAGCCCAGACAAGATCAGCCAAGTATTGCCACCTATTGATTTAGTGTCAAATCTATACTCTCTATTATCAGTTTCAGGAAGAATAAAAAGCATAATAATTAATTTGATATGGATCCATGGAAGGTCATAAAATACATGCTACTGTTTATCTGCAATGAAAATCTTACTATTATTACATAATTGCTTGCATAAAAGTGAATCGTCACTGATTTTGCCAGAATGAATTCCATTCAGAAATGCATTGAATCACAAAAGGTAAGTGCTCCTCTAAAATTCTTGGTGCTGTCAGCATTCATGAAATACTTATGGTCTGTTCAGAAATTCTGCTTTCTCAGTTATTGCTCATTTTCCAAATGCACATATTTAATAAGTGTAGTTGGTGATAAATGTCTACTGAAAGCTAACATTTCAAATATAATTTATTAGATTTCAGACAACAGAAGACAAGCCTATGCAAAATCTATCAAATCAAATCTTAAATGTATCTTGATTTCATAAAGCAATAACTCATAAAAGAAAACAAATTACACAGCACAATATTAAAAATATAAAATAATTAAAAATAACTAATTAGCTGCTGATCAATGTACAAGATTACTAAAAATAGTTCACACTGATTTTCCCAATTTCTTCAAAAACCTTTGAGAAAAAGGACTAATTGGGCATTTACACCAAAGATGGTAATGTGCTAGTAACCTACTTTCAATCCCATTTGGTTTACAACTGCATCAATATGGTCTAGAAAAGTTACAGTCTATTTTAGAGGAATGCAATGGCATCCATGGATTACCTTATTGGTCATTTTTTGGATGATTTGTTGAAATGAATTTAACAGAAATTCTGTGCCACAAACAGTTCAAATCCCAAATTCTCTTCCCAGGAATTTTATTGTCTACCATGCTCAGTTTAAGAGCTTGAAGTGTTCACTATACTATTTTTGAAATAATATCAATGGTTGTTAACTGAATCCTTGATATTCCAAAAAACTAAACAAGTATGGTATTAGCCTTCTTGCCAGGCTCAGTAATATATCTTGACTCTTCAGCCACTTAACCCCATACCCAGGCACTTTTTGACAGCAGAAGTTCATGGAAATGGCATAGCTATACAGGTAGTCCTCACTTAAAGACCACAATAGGGACCAGAAAATTGGTCGTTAAGCAGGGTGGTCATTAAGCAAGTCACCACATGACAGGATCCTGTTTTACAACCATTTCTACAACAGTCGTAAAGTGAATCACTGTGGTTGGTAAGTGAATCATGAAGTTGTTAACCGAATCCAGCTTCCCCAGTGAAGTTTTTTGCCAGAAACCAGAAAAAAAGGTTGCAAATCATGATCACGTGACCACAGGATGCTGCAACCAGTCATAAGTGTGGGCCGGTTGCCAAGTGTCTGAATTATGATCGCATGGTGGTGCAATGTTTGCGACAGTCATAAGTATGAGTACAGGTTGTAAAGTACTTTTTCCAAGGCCGTCATAATTTTGAACTGTTAAGTGAACAGTCGTTAAGTGAGGACTACCTGTACAAGTTGCTTTAGTTCAGGCAAGTTAGAAATCACTATACTGAACCATAAACAATGGTTTGCAAGCCAAAATCTCTACATTAACACAGTAAGCTGCAAATATGTAAAACAGATTATGGTTTGGCATAGTTTGTGAAACCTAACTTGGTCACTGCTGCTTTCCATTTCTTCTGAATGAAGGTAAGGGTTACGGAAGATCACATATTCTGAACTTGCTCCAGTGGGATAAATTCATTGTCTGCTAGAAGATACACACTTTACTTTTCAAGAACACTAACATTATCCAATTGTTTCTATTTTTCGAATACATGACACTGATCTCGTATTACCAATGATTACATCCTGAGTACAGCTAACAGCATTCTGAATTAAGCTTTTTGAATTACTAGAACACCAAACCCACATTCAAGATGGCCTAAGAAAATGGTTTACAGCAATAAAACATCAA